GAACCAGAAGGTTCTAGAGAGAAGGAGGAGAGGAAGAGACGGATAGAGAGAGAGAGACCGATCTCGAAAAGTGAGGGGTCAGGGGGGTAGGTGAGAGTTTAATTAAGGAAAAGGGATCTGGGCTGTTGATCTTATTTGATCAACGACTCAGATTAGTTCGGAGTTGGGCCGGGTTAGTTTAGGGATTGGGCTGGAAATTGGGTCAATTAGGGGGTTAATTTAGGCTGTAATTGGAATACCAAATGGCTGTAATTGAAATGAAATGAGGCTAGCTTTTAAATAGCCAGTTTTACCCTTTTTATTATTTATAAATAGCAATAATGATTTTCAGATCAAATTAAAAGCGCTGAACTACTTAATAATATATAAATATTAATCCAAAAATACTGGAAATGATTTTATAATTGTAAAACGCTATTAATCGTAAAATAGGTTATAATTGCAATTATATGCAATTAGCTTTCAAAAATACCAAATAAATTTGTAAAAATATGCAAAAATCACCTTAATTATACTTTGGTGTAAATATGAGAATGGAAATAAATTATTCACAAAAATGATAATTTTTGAGAGCAATTACTGGATTTTGTACTGCTAAAATAGACGATAAATTGATTTTAAAAATCTTAAAAATTAGGGAAAAATACCAAAACTCTTGAGCATGCTTATATATGCATATACATGCTATTTTGAAAGTATTTGAGTATATAAAAAAGGATATAGGGAAAAATTGGGTATCAACACTAAGGCATCGAAAATTTTTCACTAAGTCTTTTAGCCGAAAAGAGGAAAAAATTATAGCCACTTTAGAGGCTGAATTGGCCCAACTTAAAGAGCCTAAAGGCCGACCTAAAAGAGCCTAAGGGCCGATATAAAAAAGCCTAAGGGCCAGAACATATAGAGTTCGAGACCTTGCTCTCACTCAACTCGGACTCAAGAGTCCCGTCATCCCGAGCTCGCATCAAATTAACCAGGGCATAGCTCGAGGATTAACAAAAACCTTAAAAAGTATTCTGTTATAAGTTCGAAGAACGCCTATTGATTATTTAAAAAACCTAAGGGTTTGTTCTATTCAGAATCCGAGCCGACGTTCGCTTTATCATTGAAGTTATTAAAATTTTCCACAAAGTGAAGACAAAGCAGAATTCAATAAGAATCGGAGGTGGAGAAAAGGAAATTCTTTATATTTATAAAAGGGTATTTACAATGCCCACGAAAGGCCTTACACAAAAACAAAACAAAGGAATCTAATCTACTTTGGGGCCACATCCTCGGGAGCTGCATCCTCGGGAGCCGCATCTTCAGGAACCTCCTCCTCGGGGACTCCATCCTCATCTTCTCCATTCTCGGAGCCACTGGCGGAATCCTCACCATCAAAAAGTAAAGCGGCACCCTCGTCCTCCAAAGTTTTTGCTTTCTCAATGTCAGCTGAGAGGTCGAAGCCACGAGCGTGCACCTCCTCGAGAGTTTCTCTCCAGGATTGTCGCCTGGCATGGTCGAGAGCACATGATAACATGACTTCAGCCGCAATGGTGATCTCCTATGCCCGAGCGTTAGCAGCTTCAGCGTCAGCTCGATGCGAGGACACAAATGCCTCCGCCTGAGATTTGGCCTTCGCAAGCTCAGCGGCTGATTTAGCTTCGAGCTCCTCTATTTTGCGGCTCCGAGCCAAGCTTTCCTCCTTTTCATTTTGAAGTTGGAGTTCAATTGAAATTAGCTACTCCCGAAGTGTGTCTTTCTTTGAGGCGAGACAGTCCATGTGTTGTTTCCACCCTAGGGTCTCGGCCTCTTTCATCTTGAGCTCTTCTCGGAGCTGCTCCACTAGCTCGCCCTTCTGCTGGGCCTGCAAAAATTGAAGTGTTAAATGAAGACATAACTGACCCCCAAAGGCTACATTACCGTTTCGATAAGTTCAGTCTGTTTCTGACGAGCCTTCGCCAACTCAACTCGGAGATCTCTGACTTCTTCCTCTTTTTGTACATAGAGGCGCTTGAGGTCGTCCCTCTCTTCCATCAACCTCTTGAGTTCGGCTTCACACCGAGCAAGCTCGGCTCGATATTCGGAAAATGCTTGCCGATGAAGCACCACAGCCTTCACACAAAGAAAAAGAATCAGACTTAGGAAAACAAGAGTAAAGTTCGATCACAATTATGAGGACAAAAACTTACTTGCTTAAGAAGCCTCTGGGCCTCATCAAAGATAAACGAGGCTTCAGGATCGGGACCATCTTCGACCCCTGCAAGGCACTCCCAAAAAATATCACTCCCTTCATGGGTCGTTCCCACATCAGGAGTCCTCATGGCCTGGGCATCTCGGAACTGCCCTTCAGAGAATACAGGGCCCGGCAGCGAGTCATCTACATTAATTATCCCAAGTGATTCACTTGGGATATTATCCTCTCTTTGGAGGGCCTCGGAATAGGGCTCTTCGGGCTCGCCCACCAAATGTTCCCTGGGACGAAACACACTTCTACCACCTGATGGCTCGGGGACTCTACTCGAGCTCCCCTCTGAAATTTCTTCGGTTCGAGATTGAACCACGTCAGCCGCCATCGGTTCAGCGGCCTTCGAAGCGCCGGTGCTTCCTCTTTTTCGAGCTACCAACAGGCAATCGTCATCCTCCCCCTCCCCATCCTCATCCCGAAGGCGTTGGGCCGTTTCTGGAGATAGGGCAATGGTATCGGCCTTAGGCTTTTGAGCCTTGCTTCTCTTTGGCTTCGGGGAATTTTAGGCGACCCCCTTTTCCTCTTCTTTTCCTTGGTAGGCTTTGGAATTTCTTCTTCACCGGGCGGGGGAGGCCGCATAGCAACGGCGTCTCCAAGGCCTGCATAATGATAAAGTAAGTATTTCACTAGAAAACATAAATACGTGAACAAGAGAACTCACCATGGTTTTTAGCTTCCCATAAACCTTTGGCCAAGTCACGCCAACTGTGTTCCGCGTAGGAAGAAGTGGAGGCCAATTGTCGGACCCAACCTTCGAGGTCGGGGGCCGCACCAGGAAACCAAGAAACAGCTGCATCATTAGAAAAGAATTAGATCGAGAAAAAGTAGGGAAAGTAGGGTATTAATCACCATCGATACATTTGTACTTACGTTTCATGTTCCACTCCTCGGGGAATGGCAACCTCTCGGCAGGAATCAGATCGGAGGTCCTTACTCAGACAAACCGGCTCATCCATCGTCTGTCCTTGTCCTCATAGATGCTGGAAAAAAGGGACTTCAAAGATCGGCGCTGAAGCTTTATCAAACCCCCTCGATAAAGGCGAGGGTTGTATAGCCTGATCAGATGGTCGGGGGTAAAAGGCATCTCCTCGACCAAGCCCGAGAAATATCGGATCAAATTAACGATGCGCCAGAAAGAGGGGTAAATCTGGCCAAGCGTCACCTAATATTGTTGACAAAAATCAAGAATTACTGGGTCTATGGAACCTAGAGTCGGATCTGCGGGGCCCAACGTGAATGGGTAGGTATACACGCTTAAGTACCCTGCCTTATAGGTAGTGATGTCCTCTTCAGGGGAAGGGATCACAACATCTTTGTTCTCCTAGTTGCAGTCTTTTTTACCTGCTCAAGTTCGCCTTCAATTATTAAACAGATGTATCGAGACATGGGCTCACATCGACCTGGTGGCGATGCAGGTTTCTCGATTTCGGAGGTTAACTCACATGGCCTGGGAATACACTCCTCGATACAAGGTGGCACCACTGTTCTACCTCTGGCCGGCCGCGACGATGAAGCTTTTTCTTTCTGGGGAACAGTCTTAGATGTCTTAGCCATTGTGGTTAAGAAATTCAAGAGAAGAAAAGAAGTTGATGATGTAGTAAGAACAAATTGGGAAAAGGATGAACTCAGAGAAGTTGAAGAAGCTAATGAGATTCTAAGGATGATTTGAGAAGTAAAGATTGCAAAAATTGTGAAATTGGCCTATTTTTAGAAGTCACTTAAATGGTTTGGGGAAGCCAAATAGCCGACCAGCAGCCGCCTCCAATTAATGACCTTGGGAGCTACGCGGAAGCGACTTTTTCAATCACTTCAGCCGCTGACATCACGAGATTGACATCATGATCGAGGCGACAGAGCATCGAAGATCAAATCGTTTCTTATCATCTTACTCTAAGAAACGCGGGGACTATCTGTATACGGTCAAAATCGGGTATATCCAATTTTCCGGGCTCGAGGGGTCGCCTTAAGTCGGAGTTCAGGATGGATCAAGTTCGAGCTAGTCTCGAGCTCGATGACACAGTACAAGGCTCGAAGAACCAAGTGCTCGAGGAACGTCGAAGCCTAATATGACTGGCCTCGAGATAATGCCGTTATGGATTTGTAACAGAATGAGCAAGATTCCTGCCACGTCCCCAAGATCGTGGTGCAAATCCCGAAATAAATTTGTACGAATCCGTACTAGGCGGTTAGACAGCTGTCCCAATAAGATTCTTTACTGTAAATGGAAATGTACCTTATTTAGGGTTCCTCTGTTATATAAAGGGGGCCCCAATCATTTGTAAACAACATCTAATCACTGGCAAAGAATATACTCTCTTACTTTTTGGCTCATTGTTCATCAGAATTGTCCTTTGGCTTTATTATTCTTGCTTTATTGTTCTTGACCCATCTCGAGTTTACTTTGGCTCGAGGTCGAGACTAGTCTAAATTCTGGTTTGATTTTACTTGTTCCTTTCATCTATACTTCAGATTTCTTGGTTATTAATTAGTATTGAACTAAATCACGTATCTTTAAAATCATAAACCAAATTTAATTGTTACTTGTATATTCGAGGTAAAACCTAGAGGAAAAATTTCTTTAATTTCTTCTCATTTTATTATCACCTAGACCACACTTTTGACATCCTACATGATTTTTTGTAGTGTGTTTTTCTCTCTTTTGGGGCGACGGGGAAAATATCCAAATTCTAAAGTTAGGATCAGCGTGTTGTATGCTTATAACATGCTTCTGCCGCGTACAATCGTTTTTGTTAGCAAAAGAGTGGATAACCGACCCAGGTGTCAATTGGACAGAACTTCTACAAAAATATTGGCCAAGTACAACGTTTTTCTGCTGTTTTTTCTTGTTCAGAATTAAACCGGTTGTCCCCAAAATTCAGTTTAACACAAAGAAGTTGAGGACCATATCTTTGTCTCCAAATATTTGTTAGACATGAGTGAAGTACCAAAGCCAGCTTATCCTTACCCAGCTGCAGGTGAATTCTTCTTACTAATTGACTACTTGCACTTCTCTCGCCAGTATATACTAGGTTGGTAAAAAAGGGTTTTCAAAAATATATACACTCACTATTTAAGTACATAATATATGTATATATTTGACGGTTATTTTTCTTTTATTTGGTAGGACGACTATTTAAGTTAATTTCTCAAAAAGAAATATGTCAAAAAGTAAGTGTTCGTGTATCAACAAGGGCGGGTTTATAATAGAGGATTATGAGGCACGTGAACCCATAGTCTCTTCATAAAATTAGATATTTATGTACATATTTTTTGAAATTAGTATAATATTAACTTTTGGCATTCATCTTCAAGAAGACTGAAGACTGAATGGTTTACTTGGTTGAAGGTTGAGTTATTTACCAAAGAATAATAAAGATCAATTCCCACTTAATATATTTTTTCCTCCTTTTTTTAGTAGTGCAACTAGAAATTTTAGATCCGCCTCTTGTGTATCAACGATCTAAATCTGATCCTTTTTTCTTTTATTTTTTTTTGAATCAAGGTTGATCCAATAATAACCATGATGTAATAGATTTAGCCCCTAACCTATTAAAATGAATTAGAACTTTTAATTTAACCGCAGAGAGCAAAAGTTGGTGCAGTAAATATAGTAATGTGGATTAACGTAACAGGTTATTACAAGGGACCTCCAGTGATGGCTCCTCCAATGTATGTTGCTGCTCCCCCTCCTAGGAGGGAACCTGGTTTTCTCGAGGCTTGGTAATATATTAGTACTAGTTCTTTTTTTTTTTAAAACTATATTCTTCTCCTCTTCTTTGGTCGTGATGACTTAACTTCTTCCTTGTTTTAGGAGTAGTATTTACCCAAACCGGCAGGATTAACTGTTTTCCTTTTCCTAGTCGGCATACATAGGTTATACGCAGTTATACACATATTATATATTCCTTATACATCTTTCTGTTAGTTTTAGTTTAAGCGGTTGGGTGTGAACGGCTATTTATGTTAATTCTTCTTTGTTGATTTTGCAGCCTCGCAACTTTATGTTGTTGTTGCCTCCTAGATGCTTGTTGCTGGGATCCTTTCCTCTTCATTTAATTAGTTTTGTGGAACCCTTATAATGTAGTTCAACTTATGCTCTTTCACCTTTTTAGCTACGACTGGATCTTCTTACTGTTTGTGTATATAAGCCACTCTCAGTGTTCGTTCTTCCAAGTGAATAAAAGAGTTACAGGGTTCTAATTTTGCTATCTCCTTTTTGGTTTTAATTATTCACAACTTTTCGTCCACCAATATTTCAGCGCTTAAAATCCTTTTTCATTAGCTCAACAACAACAATAACAACTTAAAGTTTTGGAATGAGAAATTTTGATGCAAAAAGCTTTATCTTTCATTTCTCACCATCCTTTCTTGGTTCTTGCCATTTTCGATTTATATTCTTGTTTTACCATTAATTTAATTGAAGAAAAGATACAATACAAGCATTTGATATGGAAACAAGCTTAATATGTTTACAGGCATACTTATACTAACACAACATATATATCAGTCTCAGTCTTAGACGTGTTTCTTTCCTTGATAAGGTCTTTTCACAGATAAATGGGAAGATAGGGAAAAGATTAATATGCTCTGCCAAAGATGAAACCCCAAATCAGCTAGCCACTCAAAATTGTCACCTACTTCTAGTGCTATATCTTCATGTTCTTATATTTTTGGTAGGCCCTTTTCTACTCCAAACTGATACTGATATCAACTTGTCACGATCCAAAATTCGACTAGTCGTGATAGCACCTAACCCAACCCGCTAGTTTAACAATAATCTAACTTCAAATGAAATTTACTGAGAAAATAATAATGAAAAAATTGAACTCTTATACAACTTTCCAAGGACTTGTAGTACAAACCATGAGCTTTTAAGACTTAGAGTTTACAAAGCTAGTATAAAATAAATATATTATATGTTCGAATTTAGCATCCACTTAAACCTAACATGACACATTCTAAAGGACTACAAGGAGAAAAGGTTCTTTCAATTCCTTTTTCTCCGCAATTTTGGGTCAAAATTCATGTGGATTATAGAAAATCCCCCTACTTGCAAATAACATGGACAATTATGACATCCTTGATTACTTCCTTCCCTTGCTTGTTGGGAAATTGTCGGGGAGAACTCAACTGCTATAAAATGCTTGTGAAGAGTCCCACTTGGTGGTTTAAGCGATGGGTGGTCTCTTTAATAGTCTCACCTCTTGAGCTTGCCACCTCTTGAGCTACCTTATAGGGTTGAGTTACGTCCAATGTCCATTTCTTGAATAATGTTGCTTGATTACTTCATTTGCCAGTCTTCACCAAAGACATGGTTGGCCTTTTGGTTTTGCATAGGAGGAACCTGCGCCCGTTTGGAAATCCCGCTATAAGAAAATGGTCTTTGACTCCTAGGCTTCTATTTGATACTTGTGTTGGTGAAAGTTACGCCGAGGCGAGAGCAAATTGGAAGGTGGTTGGTAACGAATCCACATTGGGTCAGGGTGGAGGATATAGAGATTCCAACTGCTATAACATCTATGTTTGATCATAGTCATCATACTGGCTGCTTCAGTTATTGACTTTACATCCTAATTACTAATATTCTTGGTTTGGAGAAAGAAGAAGGAGATGAGATGCCAGAAGCAACGGGGATGAGAAATAGAGAGTTGCCTTAGCACATAATTCACAATCGCATACTGATATCGATAACCCATACTATTTAACGACGCCCTCAGCCTGGATCCCAGATTAACCTTTGTGAAGGCCTGGCCCAATTGCTTCTCGTCGGCCCATGTCTATTTGTGTGACATCTTTGTTGGTGTCCATATTAGGTTAGGGCCTATTCATAACACTTTCCAAAGCTCCTTGGTTATTTGCCAGCCTTTACCTTATATACATCTCTAGCTTGCAATCCGCACATTCTATCCACAAGTATTTGTCTGATTCCTGCCTAGTAGGACCAATGTCACAAGCATCTGCAACCTCTGTCTAATTGATACTCCTCTGATTCAATGTTATATTGGACCAAGTTTATCTTTTTGCTAAATTCTTAGCGAGAAAGCTAGAGGAATCCGCACTTAATTTGACTTATTGATGCTTCTATAACTAAGTAATTACTAGTGTTTGATGCTTTTGGATTTGATGGAAGTAAAATATCTGAAAGAAAATTTAGCAATTGTCTGATATTTCCTATGCAAAGGAAGTGTGAAAAATTCAACTTTAGTCTCCATAGGTGTATGAATCAGGTAAAGATTGACCCGATCAAAGGGGTTAAGTCAAAATCAGCTGCTGATTGACTTGCTTAAACTTCTTGGTTTTTATGGATTTGATCAAATATACAATCTTCATTCATAATCTCGTCCTTCCAACTCAAGATCACTTGTCTAACAATCTTGATCATTAATATAGTCATACCAACTAAGATCACTTTTCAATTAATGTTGTTACAATTCGATCGTAACATCTTCTGTTTATTTGTTTCATCATTCTTTATTTTTCTCAAATAAAAGACTAATAAAAACAGAGAAAAACTGACTTTCTTTATCATAGAAAGAAGAAGTTAGTCGACGTTTCTTTAATTGGTTGCAAGAGCAACTATCTAATTTAGTGTTACATGTGTCGAGCAATTTAATCCACAAAGACACGCATAAAATTTTAGCAATATAATAGTCAAAACGTTAAACATAAAGCTAATGTTGCCAAAATAACATTAAAAAATAAATTAAAATGGTGAAAACCGTGTGAAGGGCGTGGGGGAATAATTTCTGTTATATTATATGATGCAACTCCATTAAATTGTGTGTGAAGTCATAGAAGATTCAATATTGACCGCGTGTCTAAGAAAAAAAATCACTAATATTGAAATCTTTCGGCAAAAGACGCAAAGAATTCCAAAAATATAGTAAAATTTTCAGTACAAAACTTATGTGCAATTATAAAATTTACACCTATAATCCCAATTCTTAAATTAAAAAGAGATAAACACTGACAAAAGAACTCCATCAATATGCTTTACGTTATAGCTTAAGCCTTTTTTCCCTTACAAAGCTTAAGCATGTCAATTACTTTTAAGTCTATACAATACTGTTCTTTCTTTTGGATAATAAGATGCCATTTTGTTTGAAATTTTGAAAAAGTATTTTTGCCCAAAAATAATACTAAGTTTTTCCAGAAACAGTTTGCAAACTAAACGTTAAAATAAATTGATTTCTGCAAATTCTAAACTCGCAGGACAACTTCTAAGAAAAAAATGGACAAAAAATTCGTGAAACAATTACTTTTAGAATTTGTGAATGTTTTGTGGTGGAGAAGAATTTTTCAACGAGAAAAACTAACGCTACGATAATTTCCACAAAAATTAAAACGAAATCGTTTTGGTCCAACCGATACCTAAGATGCAGGGCAGCTATTCATTTTCACACATGTTTGGACCTTACAAATCGGACCAGTAACTTCCAGCTGTCAATCACGAGACTGACCAGAGTTTGGGCTGCTCCGCCCAAACAACAGGCCCAGGCCCAGCTAAACCACTTACCCTAATTTTTTTGTATATCAAAACTGGACCCACAAACAACGCCGCCTGCAACCAAATCAACAGAACAAACACCTAACTAATCTACCTCGCCGGCGGACATAAAATCCGACGAGTCCTTTACGTACCCTTGCCGTCGGCTAGCCGGATCTGATCTGATTTCGTGAGAAAACTGCCGGACCACAGATCTAATAAGCTTCGTGCAAAGAGATTCCTCATCGGAAAAAAAACTCAGATATTGGTTTTGAAAATTTGCAGAGAAAGAAAAGTAGCCGGAGATGCAGAAAAAACATTGGATCTGGAAATGTAAATTTGTACTAATTTGTAATGATATTAGAAGGTTCTAGGGAAAAGAGGTAGACGTGGGAGTTGCGAGTAGGGGGGTGGTGGGGGGGTGCTTTATATATAAAGAATGTGACGCCAGCTACACATTAGCTAATATTTACTTGTCTTTACTCTTTGTGGGACCCAGAAAAAGTTTCATAAAAGATTAAATATTGGGTTTTTTCCCTCTTTATCTTTCGCACCCCTCTAGTGTTTGGATTCCCACTTTGCCCTCTTCTTTGTCTACCACTAATTTGGTGCCTACAATTATCTCTTAATTTTATCCTAATTGGACTTATTGCACTATTTATTGTTTGAGATTAGGAAACAAAACAAAGTATGAGGACTAGTTGATAGGATGATAGTTGTTCTTTACCTCTATTGTTTACTCCTACAACCAATTTTTATTTCATAGATAATCACAATCATCGTATAACTTCTTTTAATAATTCTGATATCTAATTTATTTTACTGCAAAATTAAAAAATAATAACCTGCAAATTAAATGTGATCCTTTTAAATTTATTATTGATTATGTATATTTACATATTAGCTGCACGTAATTATAGAATTTTGAGAACTATATGTATACTACAATAACAACAATAACATATCTAGTATTATCTCATACCGTGGGGTCTGGGGAGGGTAGTGTGTACGCTGACCTTATTCTTATCTTGTGAGAATATAGAAGCTGTTTTCAATAGACCCTCGGCTCAGGAAACTATGTGTATGCTAGATTTTGAAAATATTTTTTGTACGGAAGTACTAATTTAAATTTGGTTGCAATAATACACCCTTCATTTCAATTTTAAGGCATTTTTTTTATTTTGAAACATTTTAAAATGTTTGAAGAGCTTCACTATAATAAATATTTTAACAACTTCAATCAACTCAACTTATTAGATACTCATATAATACATGAATTAAGATAAATCATACTCCCTCCGTTTCAAATTAAATGAGGTAGCTTGACTCGGTACAAAGTTTACGAAAAAAAAAGAAAGACTAGCTTAAGGGGTAAAGCTTTGTGGGGCCATGATTTTTGTGTGGTTATAAAAGCTTCTCATAAAGGGTAAAATGGATAAAATGAGGAGTTTAAAGTTGAATTATTTCCAAATTTAGAAACGTGTCATTTATTTTGGAACAGACTAAAAAAGAAAGTACCTCATTTAATATGAAACGGAGGGAGTAAATTTTATGTTCAATTACACATTTCACATAAAAATGAGACTTAGGAGTAAAAAGAAAAAGTTTGTGAAGGGGGTACGAGTGTGAATTTGGGAAAAGAAAAGTCGGCTTTTTAAACGTTCATGAGCACATTATATTACAACATTAAAACAAAGCTTCCATTGTTTTGACAGGATCTTCCTGACACGTCAACACTTTTACACATGCCCTATGCGCGTTTTGCTTCTTTTTCACGACTTCATCCCTTCCACGTCAGTCACCCACCCACCCCCTTCCTATTTTTCCTTTGGTGGTCCCCACCTACTCAAAAACCCTAAATTCAGGACACATGCGACCCAAATTCACTTCAAACTCTAAACAAACCCGAACTACAACGCCACCCTCTCTTTTCCTTTTCCTATCATTCAATTTTAGAATTTCTAAAAATAAAAAACCAGCTCTATTTAAACCCTTCCCAACTGAAACCTGATCTTTCCGCCACGTGTCTAACACCTCGAATCTAAGCCGTTAATGCCAGATTGTCTCGGTCAGTTTTTCAGACAGCAAACAAATTAATTTCCACCGTTTGATCAGAAGTCTGGACATGATCCACGGTTTAAATACTGCCCGAACTCCGAACGGGTAGATCTCATCGCCTTTAAGAAGCGATGCCCTCCCCCTCTCATTCCTCGCTCAATCCCTTCAAACCCTTGCCTTCCAATTGGGTTCCAATATTTTAAAGATTTTTTTTCTCCTTTTTTTGTTAATCGTCGCCGGGAGGTGGTAATCGGAGGTACTTTGTCGGATTCCGGCGGGCGCGTGGGTATCACGTCCCTTTCAATTTCATGATTTCAACACCACCTGATAACGATCAATTCCACCTGTGCCGGTGCAATTCATGGCATCCGCCGTCTTAGCTAGCCGGAATGAATCTAGCTGGGCTCAGTCTGGTGGTGCCGGCGGTGGATTCATGGGGAAAACCCCTTATTCTCATACACATCTGAACCCTAACTCTAACCCTAACCCTAAGAAAAAGCAGAAGCAATTCCATCACGCATCTAACGGTCGTCACAACGATGAATCGCCGGCCGTGACGCAAACCGCGTCAGATGATGCCTATTCATTTAATCAACGGCCGATTGAATCAAGTACCAACGTTGACGGCCTCAATCTTGGAGGATATATGACCTACAACGTTGCCTCGTACAACAAAACCGAGCTCCATGAGCTACGGAGTCGGCTGGTGGCGGAGCTGGAACAGATCCGAAACCTCAAAGATCGAATTGAATCGGGTCAATTGAGCACCAGCAACCCCAGATCTCACGGCAAGTCCAAGAAGTTATCCGGAAATAAACGGCCCACCCCATCCGGATCCAGTAAAGATCCGAAAAAGCTCCCCAATGGAGTTGATAATAGAAGTTTCGGTAATCCGGGCGGTGGTGGTGTTAAGGGCATAATCGGAATGGAAAATATGATGAAGGAATGTAGGCAAGTTTTGGGAAAGCTGATGAAGCATAAAAGTGGGTGGATTTTCAATACCCCTGTAGATGCTGAAGCCTTGGGTCTTCATGATTACCACCAGATTATTAAGCGACCCATGGATTTGGGGACGGTTAAATCCAATTTGTCTAATAATTTTTACCCTACCCCCTTTGAATTCGCAGCTGATGTGAGGCTTACTTTCAATAATGCCCTTTTGTATAACCCTAAAACAGATCAAGTTCATGGGTTTGCCGAGCAACTCCTGGCACGTTTTGAGGACATGTTTAGACCGATTCAGGATAAATTGAATAAGCTTGATGGCGGAACCGGCAGGAGGGATTTTCATGCCATAGATGAGTTGCAGGGGAGTTCTTGGAATCACATTCCTACACCGGAGAGAGTGAAGAAGCCCAAGCCTACTCCGGCCCCTCACATTTCAAAGAAGCAGGAGCGAATGATGCAGAATCATTCGAGTGCTTCAACTCCCTCTTTGCCAGTGCAGCAGCCACCAGACAATCCACCAGTGGTGCGGCAGCAGTCCCCGTTGTCAACTCCTTCCCCAGTGAGGGCACCACCAGCGGCAAAGCCTCAATCATCAGTTGCGGCTAAAGTGCCTCCTATGGGAAAGCAACCAAAGCCGAGAGCGAAGGATCCGAATAAAAGAGAGATGAGTATGGAGGAGAAGCATAAATTAGGAGTTGGGCTGCAAAGTTTACCGCAAGAGAAGATGCCGCAGTTAGTACAGATTATAAGGAAGAGGAATGAGCATTTAGCCCAAGATGGCGATGAGATTGAGCTTGACATTGAGGCCCTTGACACGGAGACTCTATGGGAGCTTGATCGGTTCGTGACCAATTGGAAGAAGATGGTTAGCAAAACTAAAAGGCAGGCGTTGATCAACAATTTGGGACAACCACCATCCGCCAGTGCTGCAGCTTCTGCTGCTACAACAACATCCGTTGCAGAGGCTGATGGGGTAATAATGCAGTATTGCATTTTTGTTAATTCTTTTGATTTGATACATATGCTGTCCCTTGTTGCATTTATCAGATTGGTAATGGAATGGCTAATAAAATTTGTTGCTGTGTTTGTTGCAGCCTAGTACAAGCGAGAAAAATGACTCCTTCAAAAAGCCCAAAAAGGGGGGTGATGCTGGAGATGAGGATGATGTAGAGATAGAGGATGATGAACCAGCTACCCACTTTCCTCCTGTGGAAATTGACAAGGATGAAGGTGGTGGTGGTGGGCAGGATCGTGATAATAATGCTAGTAGTAGCTCCAGTAGTTCCAGCAGCTCGAGCAGCGATTCCTCCTCTTCTAGTGGTATATATATAAAAACTACTCCAACTGCCAAAAATGATCCTTTTTGTTGTTCTGGCTCTCAAATGAAGGCTTTGACTAATTGAACATAACTTATTTTGTGCAGATTCTGATTCAGGAAGTTCTTCAGGGAGTGACTCTGATGCTGATGATGCACACTCTTGAGATTTGTTGGTTCAAGCATTGTCCTTTTTGTTTTTTGTGGTATAGAGTCGGTGCCTCGAATTGTCTCTTGATGTTTTTGCACATTTCGCTGAGCTGAGAAGGTTGAAGAACCTATGTGCAGAGCTGTTACCACATGGGCACTTACAGAGTTTGTCTCCTTGAGAGGAAGGGGAATTTTAGTATTTGGTGACATAAAAGTTAAAGGCGTAGGGATCAGAATTTTAGGGATTTTAGGAATGATGGTCCCTCTGTTAATGAGAGTGAGATATGTAGATAGTTGAGACAACACCTTTTGTACAGCAGTTCGTTACACTAATACATTTGATTGTTTTCTGAAAGAACATGACACATTTCTTCTATTGTTCAGTTCTATCAACTTAACTCCCTTCCCTTTTAGCACAAGCCTCAAAGTTTACAGTTAGTTCTCAAATTTATTGGGTGAACAACGTGTTGGTAGGTGGAGAACTTGTGGAGCCACGATGAGAGTTGAGATATGAATTGAATTAATTGAGCAACAACTTAGAGAAAAAAAGAATGATTCTTCACCATGTGCTATTTTTATTAAATTCTGGCCTGCACTTCGAGATACATGTTGGAATCGACCTTCAAATGGGCTAAACATGTATCAGCTGCCTCTCTCTCTATGGGCGAAAGCACCAAAGTTTGGTTTGGCCTAAGAGCAGAATGAACAAACAAGAGAACATTGATAAATTCGACCCATTCTTTTGATGGTGAAGATGTGAGATCAGTTTTCCGCTGGGACTTTAGGGGATGCTGGAATGGTATGTAAACAATTGGGTGCAGTTATTTTCGTATGTTATTTAATGGTTGAAATAACATATAGGTTGGCTGGCTTTCTTCCTTTTGCTTTTTCTTCCATTTATAGGTTAGGTACCTCTCTCTCAGCTGTGCAGTGACTGTATACTTTAATGAAGTTAGCCAAATGCTGGTAGCAACTTCCTTAGTAAAGACGTAAACAATCTCCTTTCACGTGGAGGATCCCGATATGGCAGCAATGACAGACTCGAGTCTGATTGCCCTGCTCCTTACCCATGTGATGGCTATATATAATTAAATTTTCTGGAAAATAATACACAAACACACAAGCATTAAGTTGTAACAAAAGTATGAGTAGATGTGGTATTTTGCACTAGTGCTTTATTAGGCATAATGGCACATGTGTTTCGAGGCGAAGCCTTAATCCAAAGCCATTGGAGACAAGCTCAAGAAAATATTAATTAGGGTAATACAAAATGGGTTAATTTTACAAATAAAGGAGTACAAACATTGATTCGACTAGCTAACCATAATAATAGTATGTCCGTTATAATGTTGTAAATCATCAAATTCATGGTTATCCGGTCAAAACAATTTGCGTATTCAAGTTATTATCATATACTTAGAAAAAGCGCACACAGATGAAAAGTAAAAGTCTTACTGGTGAAGGTGGCATTCTTGGAGACATAAGAGATGGATATTTCAAGGCACAATGTGTCTATGTGACAAATGCACCATATCCTTCATGGTCCTAGGTGTTAGTTCTACGAGACGTTAATCCCTCATAGTTGCCTTGAACTTGTGTTTAAAGACTTTGCTTTACCTAAGGCAAATTTATCTTTGGTTTCTAAAATATATTATATTATGCTCAATGACTTAAACTTCTAAATTCGCCTCATGCGCTCCCATCCAATAACAACAAGACATGTGGTAGGCTGGTAGCCACTCGTGGACTCAGCTTGACTTGATTTCATACGTTATAGTCGTAGGAGGTCAATGAGGTGACACCACCCAAAACAATGTTCTCAATCCTTGAAAGAAAAGGAAGTGATGATACTAAATGAACAGGGAAAAGTAGCAGAATACCCGTTTGATTCTTTATTTCTACTACTTTAGTATGCTGTTGGACGGATAATTAGCCCAATAGTTTGGTCTAACCAGCCTATGGTTGAAATCTCCAGTGGCATTGAAAAAGGCCTACACCACTTTACCAACTGAAGTGAGATTGCAAGTCAGGCAATTCATTTGTTCTTTTCGTGATAGCGACTCAAATGATGGCCACTACTAAATCCTGCCTGACCTGTTAAAGACATGGGAAACTTCCTAGAACAATTCTTAATACAAACTATTACTACGCCTCAATCATAAGTAAGTTGAAGCAGCTATATGAATCATCATTGTCAATATCGTTCCATTTAAGTCTGTCTCAATCCAATAAAAGCAATTCTAAATATAAGAATTAAGAAGAAAAATAAGAGAATAATAGGGCACACATAAATCACATATGTTCCTAGAGTTACTCAGGGTGTTAACAGTAACTTGATAATACAACAGCAAGTTAAAAATTGCAAGTAATTCCAAATATAAACAATGACATGGAATTAAGAGGAGAAGAATGACAAGTGGAATCATTCTCCAGGCAAGCAGGTTAGGTAAGATGTCAATAGGTGCTCCTGTGCCACAAAAATGGATGGTACCATTACTATAACGGACTAATTATTATCAGAACTGCTATTACTATCAGTTTTAGAATAACAGAAGCAAAAAGAAGTGTGCCAAACACAGTAAAAATCCCGATGCAATAAAGTCCAGTGACAATGGTTAGAAAAATCACCAGGAAACAATGCCCAAATGGTCAGTCCATCGGTAGGAATGTCCTAATAATACTCAATCTTCACAAGCCAAACTTTTCTGGTAGTAGAATCACACGTGGCAGGAACTTCCAACATAACGATTTATATCAGATTATAAGGATACCTCGCCCTAAAACTCACCTTTTCGAAGCAGGATACAATGTTACCCTGTTGAGATTCACAATCTGTTGCAGTGTCTTAAGAAACGACGCCTCAGTTTAAGTTTTATCAAAATCTGATTGACTTTGCCGCAGAATTTTCGCACATAAGCTCGTCTTGATGCCTTCTCGGGCATATTTTCGAACAACTTATTAATTAGGTGGCCTAACCTTCGGAGATGTCTTTTCAGCTTTTTCTTTGATGAATCCTGGCTGTTTTCATCAGGGTTTGTGGAGACGATCAATTTTATTATCTCCATAACCAGATCTAGAGCTTCAATTTGCTGAAACTGTCGCTTCGCCTTAGCACATTCCTTCAAAAGGCATCCAAATAGGTGATGTCCAATCCATGGACTCCTTTAAAAAACTTCTTCTAGAAATTCAGACGTCAATTGAGACCTTTTACTAAAGTAATCCTCCAGAACTCCCTCAAATATACCAAAAACCTCCTGAAGTTCAGGCTCTGGAAGCTTTTTAGCATCAATTATCTTCAAAATCCAAAAAGTTGAACTCTGAGAAAGAGAATTGATCATTTTGTATCTATTCAAGGCGACAGACTGCTTTTCCTTTGACAAGTTAGAGGCAGATTTCTTATACTTGAAACGCGTTGCTGCCAGCTTCAAGTTACTTTTCAAGAGTGACTCGAGCACTGAGAATTGGATGTCTTCACCTCTTGGATAGTCCTTTGCCTTGATAATTTTCTGTAGAATTCCCCAAATTCGCTGACCAAGCTGTTCCCTACCTTCCATAGATTGTGAGTTTATAAATGCTTCAGCTAGGTGTGAGAATATTGTTAATACTTGTGGCTTTCCTGTAAAATGGTACATTTAAAAAAAACTATTCCTCGATCAATCAATAGATCAAATGAACAAGTGTTTTGAGTTTATGAACAGTGATAACAATGGAAAGATGAAAGGTAGCTGCAACACTTGATGAAAGAAAAACCACAACCTCAGAACCACAAGATCAAAATGCTTGTGCTACTGTCTCTTTTACTTCAGGATAGTCTTTTAATATAGGTGAAATCTTTCGCTTCTAGGAGAATGGCATAACAAGTGAAGATATATCATGTAAAACTAAAAATAGGATGGCTGAAAAATGAATGCTGTAGGAGTATTGTGCAACAGAAAGATACTCAAAGTGAATGTTATGGAACAGTTGTGAGACCAATAATGTTACACGGAAGTGACATTAGGTCTCTAAAGCTCATAAACATATAGACAAGATATGACGTTGAAATGTAGATTATAGTATGGAAGTTCAGTCAAATAAAACTAAACAAGATGACAAATGATCACACGACAAAAGGATCAAGTAGCATGCATAGAGAATAAAACAAGAAGAAAAGTTGCCGCAGCTGGATTGCACCTAGATGCACCAATCCTTATGTGCAACAATATGATGATTGACTGTAATAGAAAAAGAGGTTGACATAAATCACATGAAGGAAGTTTCAAAAGAACACAATTTTTATATCAAAGTGGACTTGATCAAGAGTCGAACAAAAGAGGAAGAAGTAAAGCAAAAAAACCATATGAGTGCCACTAACTAGTTGGAATTAAGGGTTAGCTGTTTTTTATTGTTACATTTAAATTGGTCTAAGATTCATTAAAAGACCTTTTATTCTAATGAGAGACTTGTGTATGTCTCTATAGGTAAAGTATGAGATTTTGAGAACATTTAACTTTTATGACTCTTAATTTGCCTTGAAATACAGAGTATTTAAAATGTACAAATGATGGGCCTACAGTGAGCTAAATGGATATAAAAGATTAACATAGCCCCTCATAAATTTGGGATTGAGGCCTAGTTTATGTTGAAAGAAACTGCACAATACTGTAATTTGTTCCATAATCCCTTATCCATGTTTCAGATACCAACCGGAGCAATCAAAAGAAATTATGATGCCACTTGGTTCCACCCCCCTTCCTTTTTTTTTTGATCATGGATTCTTTATTCGTTTGGAATTAGATGACAAATGAAATGCCACTGATAACTCAACAGGGAAAAATATACAACCTCCAAGAATTAAAAGATCATACCCCTGTTTCCATCATGATGATCATGCCAAAAAGCTAATCATGAAGTTAGGATATGAACTTACATTATACATTAAGAGATTAGATTTTGAAGTCAATCTTACACATCCTTTAGATAAATGTACTTAGTATATCAAGAAAACTTGCCTGGATTTTCATTTAGGTAAATCTCCAGCAAAGAGAGGACACGATACTTGAAGTGGACAAGCTGTGAATCAGCAGTTTCACCACCAGCCTGGTTCGTCCTTCCCTTTATACATTTAGCAAGATATGTGTCCATGCGGAACATTGCATCATCATCCATTCCCTCATCAAAATCATCATCAGAAGCCTCAAGAAGTTCTGCGCCTTCTGCCTCGATATCAACTAATGTCCCTGAGTCTGCCTGTCCATCATTCCTCGCTGTTTCATCCGAATCCTCTGCTTCTTCAATGCCAAGAACATTGTCATCGTCGTCATCCTTCTCATTGTCTGTTTCTTGGCGTCTGGCTGGTTTGAGATTTTTCTTTATAACACACAACATCCGAAGTAACCCATCATCCGTGACATCATGGAAAAAGCATTTGAAAACCTAATTTTTTATAAACAAAAGAACTTTTGAAAACCTAAAAAGACAAACAACTTTAAGTAGGCAAAGAAGAACTAGAAAATAACCTGAGCAACAGCAGCTGTTGCAGAAATTCACACGAACTCTTAGGTACCAGTATACATTCAACCGAAGAACTCTCTAACTAGAGATTTCCAGCCATTCCATAATACAAAATACAAGCAAAGATATAAATGACACCTACATGTGCACTTTCCAAGAAATAAAACACAACAATCAACTTTCATGTATTCATATTATGCATCTGCTAAGCTCTTTGAATTGTAAGTATCGGTGATGGACAAAGAAAGATAATTGAAGAACTATTAAGTTCTCTTCCACCTTTAAAAAGACAGAGACTGGAGGATCATCAAAAGTACATGAAAAAGAACATTTTCCATAATACACAGACAACTCCACATCGAAGAGATCAACTACAGAATGTTCTAATGAGTTCCTATTTTTGATTGCGTCAAGTCAAGCTGAAAACAATATGAATAGTATTATTATAAGGTGTATCCAGAAAAGGAATATAAAGAAACAATGTATTCACTACTTTTTTCCTCATGAGATAATTAAGGTTCATTTGAAAGAAACCCTATGCACAAGAGTACAGATAACAGGATGAATGGAGTTACACATTCAGTAAGATTTTCTCTTTGGTGTGAACAGCTTGTATTGGTGCTAAAGCGAACTTTGTGCTTTTAGTTTGTGTATTACATGGAGTTGAAGCTTCCAATCACATTTCAATAATTTGTAAGGACAAAAGAAAAGGAAAGATATCTATCTGGCAGCTAAATAGACCCAATCTTCCAACATGAGTAAATATCTAGTATCGATCATCCATTTTGTTTCTCTAGAAGAATATTGTACTAGTCAAGTCCACACCCCCAACCCCATTTGAGAATAAGAAAATAGAAATGCTTACACTAGGGGTGGCAAAATGTTTAAAAGAAAACAGTTATCCACCCATATTATCCATTAAAAATGGGTTGGATAATGAACTGTTTAAAAACGGATCAAATATGGATAAGAACCGTATAATCCATTCAGAAAATGGATAACTAATGGGTTTAACTTTTACATTTGTAAAGTCTCAAATTGGGGTTCCTCAAGTTTGGGAGACTAGGAATTCTTACAAAAGTGATCATATTCAAGAAGCCATGGATAATATGGATATCCATATTATCCGCCGGTTAACCCATTTTTTATCCGTGTTAAATATGGGTCGGGTCGGATAATTCACCCGTTTTCGACCCGAAACATATCCGACCCGACCCGCCCGTTTGCCACCCCTAACTTACACACATAATGCAAGGATCAATATCCTTGAGAACAACCAAGATTGCTATTGGAGCTAATGTCAAATACAATACAAAAACATACATAAGCTGTCACTAATTCATAGTGGTTTGGTCTTTACCAAAATTTGCTAAAAACAGAGCTAGTGATTATATATAACAAGGACCAGTAATTAGCACTCAGCTTTAAAGATTGATATAAACTTATATTTAAGGCTAGTTACACTTTCCTTTTTTCCTTCAAATATTCTGTTGGTTCTTCCTATCCACAGAGTCCACCAACACAGCTTGAACTATAGCTCTATCAGCAAATAACTTTTGAATTGTGTTTGAGTTGAATATGAAAACATAAAAAGAACCCGTTATACTAAGGTCTGACAGTTGCATATACCCCTCCATCCCGAAAACATACACCTACTTTCCTTTCTGGCCCATCAGGAATAACTCAACATATTTCATTAACTAAAAAGTTTTATTTATAACAGTTGTGTCCGGGCTAATTTGCGCGCACATCGACTATTCCATCGAGTATTTGCTCCTCCCACCAGCACATGATCATTAAATAGAAAGTTTTACATTCTCCATGAATCAAACTAATATAGGAGAAATAGTGTTGAAATGCTTTTCTTAAATAATTTAAGGATAAATAGAAATATAACTTAACATATGTACTGCAAGTTTAGCTAGCATAAGAAGAGTGAGGCAGAGGTCAGATTAGACGGGATTAAGGTGCCTAAATGCGATCAACTCAGATTTCAAGGCTCGATGATCCAAGAGAATGGCATAACAGATAAAAGATGCTATATATAAAATTAAAATTTGATGGTTGAACTGGAGAGGTGCTATTGAAGTGTTATGCAATAGGATGATACATACCAAACTGAAGTTCAAAAAAAGTGTTTAAGACCAAATGGGAGAGGATGGTGGACCTCTATGGTCCAATACATCCACAAGATCATAAATGCAAAATGTTAAGATGAATGCCTAGTCATACAAGAGTAGACAAGATTAGAAATGATCACATTCAGAAAAAGGTACAAGTAGTACACAAGATAGATAAAATGAGAGACTGGTCACTTGAGATGGTCTAGTCATGTCTTATGTCGGCCATAAGATGCACCAGTTTGTATGTATGAAACCATGGTTATTAAAGGTATTAAAAAAGGACGAGGTAGAACTAAAATCACATGGAAGGAAGTTGTCCTGAAAGACCAACAATCTCTAGAATCGATACGGACTTAGCAAAAAATAGCTTACAATGATACCTATTAGATGGAATAAAAGTTTGGTCATATTGGAACGCCATTGCTTTAGGTCCAATCTTCACCAAAAAAATTTAGTTTTGTTAGAGATTTGTACGCCAATAGAAAATGTAGAGAACTTTTGGTAACAGAAAAAGATTGAAATGGGTTTAAATGGAGCAACACGAATATTGAAAATTCATATTGCCGACACCTATCAGCTTGAGATTGAGAAATTAGGTGATGTTGTAACTCAGTGTTATATGCTAAAACATCCATATAAGTAAAAATTCCTCTTAACTCCGTTTAAGTTTCTTCTCTTATCAAAGTCGGTAAGGTTTTTCAGGATGGACTTGACATCACAATGCAGTAGGTGTAACAATGCATAAGAAATATTGGAAAGCACTTCCTCAGGCCAGGAATTTGGGGGATAATAGATCAGCAGAGGCACTGATAGGATATTATCCTTGCTTTTCAGTAATTTACCTTCTCAATAGCAGTCCGCATTGCAGCTGATGACTGTGGCAGCAATGAAAGCATGGTGTCCACTAGGACATCCATCAATTCATGTGTGCCATCTCCATCTGCTTCATCTTCTCCAGAGGAAGCAAGATCAGAAGATCGAAAAGCCTTTGAACAGCAAATAACCAATTCCGAGGCGGCTTCAGAAAATTCTTCAGGCCGAAGTAGAACTTGAAGCAACAATTGCATTAGAAGATACCTCATGGAATGAAACTTATTTGCGTCAATACTTGGGCCCAAGTTTCTTTCCTGCGGTCATTTGAAAAAAGAATAAAAAGGGTTAACAATCTAACTTTGTCACAGAAGAAATGAAGAAGTTTTCACTTTCCTGAACACGAGTAATAACTAATATAAGATGAGTAACAACAGGATATGGATCTTTGAATTAACAGCTTACTCAGACTCCTCACACTAAAGCAGGTCTACATTCTTATCAAACAATAAAAAAGATTTAAATGCCTAAAGCAAGGGACATTGGTTTCACAAAGGCACAAAAAGCTTTGATTAATGCTGCCGACCAGGATGCTACAAAAAGAAGCAACACAAAATATCACCTGTCTTGAGAGCTGAGACTCCACAGACTGCAATTTTTTTAATGCTTCTTCGTCATCATCGCTCAAGGACCTGAACAGCGAAACAGAAGGAATATTTTGCAATGTAGCAAGAAATCGCATGAAATAAGCTCCAAGATCATTAGCTTCAGGACCACTTGCCACAACATGAGGTCCTTCGCCTTTTTGAGCATGTGATAGAAGTAACTGAAGCTGCTCAATGCACATCCTACAAAGAGCACTTGAAATGGAAGACTTTGGCCACCTAAACTTCTCCTCCAATTCAAAAGATGTCACCTCACTTCCAAGAGTTGAAGAGAATAAACCCTGAACAGCCAGAAATTTTAGAATTTCTCTATGCACTCTGAACCTTGCATTTGCATCCAGAGGTAGATGCTTCCAGCTATTGGAAAGTGACTTTAAAACCCAGCCTTTAGAAAAATCTGAGGTTCCTGGCGCTCTAAAAGAATCTTTATATTCTGTGGAACCAATTTTTGAGTTGTCATCTGTTGTTTGACTCTGATCTAAAGGCTCCTCTGAAGCATGACCTTTATCCAGGAACGTGTCAACCAAGTTCTGTATGAGAAGCACGCATCCAGACTCAGTTTTAAACTCAGCCAACAACTCTTTTACTGTTTTTGTCCTGGTGATGCAATCAAATTTCCCGTTACTATGTTTCTGTAAAGCCATAATAACTGCTACTCTTCTAACATCGTCATGCTTGACCCACTCACATAATTCTCTCATAAAATATTGACAGGATTTGAATAGATTAGGGTCTTTTCTGGAAAGTACATCCATTAAGCAACGTACAACTTTGTAAGAGAGGATGTTGCAGATGCAGGAAGCGGGCAGTTTTGGAAGGAGACGCAGCAGCACATTGAGTGCCAAGTTCTTACAATCATGAGATGATGAAAGAATTAGTGATCCTTCAATGCCAACTTCACAGAAGTTTTTAAGATTCTTCTGAATATCTTCTTCTGCTGAGCTACCCTTGCGGGGTTTTTTGTGCTTTTTCATGAAACTTAAAGCTACTGAGGGATCAAACCCTTTCACAACATTTTCAGGTAAGAGAATATTTACCAATGAATACCATACACTATGAGTTCGTGGATGGCAGAAATTGGACTCCTGCAGATCCATAAAGTCCACAGATCAAAATATGAATAAAGCTTTTCAAGGAAGGGAAATGAAGAAGTTTAGTAGCACCTTCAAGCATTTGGAAAGCAAGGACAGATGTTCAACAGTGAAAAGCCTGCTGGGGCTATAAGGAAAAGGCAGAAGCTTGCCAAACTCTTTGTCATCGACACCAGCTTTCTCACGTATAGCAAGGGCAAGAAGTAAAGCATCAGGATTTCCAACTTCTGGTGCACCTTCAAACCACTCTTTAAGTCCAGGAGCTTCAAGTATATGATTCAGCAAAGCTTCAACAGGCAACTAACATGACAAAATATGTATGTTGATACAGCTAGATAGAATACAGCTTAAGGAAAGAACCAAAGTAGAGAAAGAAGGATAAGATCGTAAAACACAAATACTCTAAATTCCAAAAGTTAAACCAGCAACATGACAAAGCACATTTTAGAGTAATAGGAAGAGGTGATATTTTTTTTGGACAGGTAAAAGAATCTTTAGTTGCACGACAGCACTAAGAAGGTACTGGAACAGCCGGAACAGGTGAAATTTAGTAGCCAAGTAAAAAAAAATCCTAAAATATCCATCAGGGAGATATAGAAGCTCATACGAGTAAAATCCAATCGGTGAAGCTATTTCAAGTAATAACTAAAGTGTACATGCTTAGCATAAATTTGCAATTCACAGGCTCGTAAACATTATTGACCTTGTCAACCAACTCCAAAATAATTGAGACAGCAGGCTCTTGAAAGTAACGCTTTTCTGCTGCCATCGAGACAAGAGAACCAATAAATTCTTTAATATAAGGAGTGTTTTTATCAGCAATCCACTCTAAAGTTAATCTCCCTGATTTTGCAATAGCTCCATAAGCAAACAAGGGTCCAAAGTCGTCCTACAAAACCACTTAAAACTGTCAAGCCAGCACATAAGAGAACTGATAAGTTCACAAACAAAGGTAATCTTTCCTACCTCCTTCATGGAAGAAGAGATAATTAGTTTCAACAGTGCATCCAGTTTTATGCATGGAACTGCACCAACCAATACTGTCATGCCTAATGCAAATCCTTGCCTTGCACACTGCACATATAAGAAACAGATAAGATTTCTTATTAAGACAATCATGGCACATAGAACTATGAGTAGAGTAGACATCTTTTTACTAAACCTTCAGTGTTTCATTTAACCTTTAAATTCAAAACTGTGGAGCATATAGCTATTAAAAATTTTCAAAGACACGAGCTATGAGTATCTACCTCCCAGGCGCCAGCATGATCATAAAGTAACCTTTCGGGATTTTACTATAAAATAACATTTGTAATGGTAAAAACAGGAGAGCATAGTCTAAGTGTCTTATTGCAAGACACAAGTTTCCAGAATGAATTTGCTTTTGTCACCCTGAAGATATTAGTCTCCAAAAGAATTTCAATTATAAAATGAAGATGGAAAGGCGTATAGATCCTATTTAAGCTGACAAATTAAAGAGTAACAATAATTAGGAACTTATTATTTTCAACAAAACTACGGAACAATTATACTACAAATTAGACAAACACACCTCTCTTGATGAAGAAAGGCCACGAATGAGCCTCCGAACTGCATATCTCAAAGAAGGGGCACAGTTATTCAACCCATCATCCTTCTTTTCAGCTTCCAATTTGAGCTGACCATCAACCACTTCCTTGTTCTCCAGATTATCATAAGCCTTCTGAATTTCAAGCAACTTAACAACTAAAGCCTGAGCAGCTGCTTCTCTAATAGACACCTCAGCAGCTGCAAGGTCTGTAAATAGACGAATGTCGAGCTCAGGCAACCCACTAGTAGTAGTAGGAGAAATCTCCGTCCTCTCATTACTTCTCGAGTCAAGAGAAGCCAACTTTTGTTTATGCCAAGCCTCCGCTCTTTTCTCGGACTTGGCTCTGAGCCTCTCTTTGTCTAAAACTCTTTTTATTTTCTTTCTCTCCATAGGATTGATAGGTTCCTCCCCTGTTTCAGCCTTTCTCTTTTTCTTGTCTTTCTTCAATTTCCTCCCAACATTCTCCATGACCATAATGCCAACGTTTGTCTGACCCATCAAAAAGTTCAAGCTGAAATGTACTACAATAAAAAATAAAACAGAAAAAGAATTTGCAGGTTCCTAAAATTATTTTGGTGGTTCCTGAAATACAGAAAGTTAGAAAAATATTTTCCTAATGAATTAAAACAACGTCAAGCTTGAAGTTTCTCGAAAATCATATACTTCCTAAGAAAGAAAAAGCAGAAATAAAGTTGCAAAGTTGATGAAATTATTTCATTGATTCCTGCACAGCCAACAACTGAAGGATATAAAAGTATAATACGCAACACACTGTTATCCTATCAGCAATTTTAAACTCGTTAAAGCCAAAATATCAGCTAACCATGGCCATGCACTAACAATGTTCAACTTCCACATTCATTTTTACTGTGGAAAACTTCGCAGTATAGAATAAAAATAATACTGTACTACATATTTATATTGCAAATTTACACGAGAATAAACTGATGAAAATATCAACAGTTAAACTGGATAGAGAGAATGACAGAGAATAAAAGAGATACTCACAAGTCACATACAGTTTGATTCCGTGGGCGGAAGAGAATGGCGAAGAGTTTCCTATCGGCCAGGGAATTGAAGGACAAGTAGATTTATATAGGTATTGGTTCTAATCCCTACTATTTGTTTTTAATCCAGCGGGGCCCGCAACATATGTGGGCCAAGGTTTATTTATTCTATGAATTTTTACATTCCTATACCACATAGGAAACCTTTTTATCCTCCATGTTTAAGGTTTGATTTAATTACAAACCTGTATACCAAATTACCAATCCTATATATATCCCACGTTTCTCTCTCCCCTTAATTCCTAAGATCTGACCAGCGCCGTAAAAATCCCTTGCTTTTAAACAGATGGAAGTAATCTCTCACTCCGGCAAATACCAAATACCAGCGGCAAAATCAAATCAAATTAATCAAATCTTCGAAGTGTTTCTCTGCGTCTCTGTTGGGGTTAGCGAAATAGAAGAAAGGCTCAAAGATGGAGGAAGATTTGAAAATGGAGGCAGTAAGCTAAGTTGAATTAGACGATGAACACAGAAGACTTCCTCAATCGATCAATCAACAATTCTCAATTGTAAATTTATGGGGTAGCTATATGAATCTTCTGTAACCTCCGGCTCCATTTTGTCTATATTATTTCAATATTAAATAAATTGTCTTTTTAGGCAATTTAGAGGTTCTTTAAAGGTAGAGATTCTTCAAGTGTCACACTTATCCGGCATTGACACACAAGTTCTTGACCAAACTAGGAAAGAACTTGGTTAACAAACATCTGACCCAATATAAGTGTGACAGTGTGGGTGCAATTGTAGTTTATTTGTAGTTTTTTGTAGATGAAGAGCAAATTGTAGAAATGTAACATCCACAATTAATCTGCAAATTGTCTACAAAATTTTCCAAAACTACAAATTAACTACATTTAACCTACATTATAACTACAATCTGGAAACAATTTACACATGAAAGTTCTTCAAGTTGGAATTGGCCACAGCTACATTTCTTGTTTTCTAGACACACAATGTACCGCTTCACACCATCCAACACAGTATGTATATGATCTGTTGAAGCCCTCACCTACATTTTCAGAACAAACACAAAGAAAAAAAATTTACAATATTAAAAATATAGTATCTACAATATATCTACATTTTATCTATAATTTATCTACAAATTAACTACAAACTATAAGTAAACTACAATTTGCCTACAATTTATCTACAATCTGGAGACACTGTATATTAAAATATTTTTTTCCTGCACCAAATAAAGAAATTGTAGTCAAATTGTAGGTATATGTAGTAAATTTGTAGATAATATTATAAAACTAAGAAGACCTATTGCTGTTATCTTTTTCTTCTCATTTTTGTTGTTGTTTACAAGCTTTAAGTTATTGTCATTGATCTGCCTTTGAACTCTCCACTTTATGTCCATTTAATTGGTGCTTGTTTTTTTGAATCAGATGTGACATCATGCTAGCTGCATCTTGAGGAAAGCAAAGCAGATAAAATCGTATGCCATTTTCTTTTCTAGAAAAATGCAGTTAAGATGTGGTTTAGCGATACTAGAAAGGACTTTAATTATTGACTTCATTTTGATCTTAGCCTTGAAGATGTTGAAGGGGTTGATCAGTTGCAGTGGGAGGATCAGTAGAAGATAAGGGTATATGTAGAGGGTGGTGGATCAGGATCCTCAAACACCCCTAATCCTGCTGCAACGGAACTTGGTATTGAAGTCTCTCAAACCTCCCATGATAGAAGAAACGACGAAGAACAGATTTTTTCAACTTTGAGTTGTTGAAACTCGAAAATTTGAATTGTTCGTTCTTTTTTTTTCGAGAATTTGAATTGTAGTTCTGGAGAAAAATACGCAGATGAGAAATCTCCTTTCCCTTTTTAAAAATTGAATTTAATGTAGAATCAATTAACACCAAGATTCTCTCCTTAATTTTATGGAATATTCTGCCCTTTTAATGCCTAATAGTCGAATGGTACAAAATTTGTAGGCAAAACGTAGACTGGGCGGGTAATTGACAAACAATGCACATTTTTGGTAATAAGGTTTCATATATGGTATAGTTAGGAAAAAATGCATTCCTATACCACATAGGAAACCTTTTTACCCTCCATGTTTAAGGTTTGATTTAATTACAAACCCGTATACCAAATTACCAATCCTATACTATACTTAATTAAAGGTCTAATTAATGGGCAGTTTTTACTCCTTAATTAAAGGTATCCATATATCCCACGTTTCTCTCTCCCCTTAATTCCTAAGATCTGACCAGCGCCGTAAAAATCCCTTGCATTTAAACAGATGGAAGTAATCTCTCACTCCGGCAAATACCAAATACCAGCGGCAAAATCAAATCAAATTAATCAAATCTTCGAAGTGTTTCTCTGCGTCTCTGTTGGGGTTAGGGAAGTAGAAGAAAGGCTCAAAGATGGAGGAAGATTTGAAAATGGAGGCAGTAAGCGAAGTTGAATTAGACGATGAACATAGAAGACTTCCTCAATCGATCAATCAACAATTCTCAATTGTAAATTTATGGGGTAGCCATATGAATCTTCTGTAACCTCCGGCTCCATTTTGTCTATATTATTTCAATATTAAATAAATTGTCTTTTTAGGCAGTTTAGAGGTTCTTTAAAGGTAGAGATTCTTCAAGTGTCACACTTATCCGGCATTGATACACAAGTTCTTAACCAAACTAGGAAAAAACTTGGTTAACAAACATCTGACCCAATATAAGTGTGACAGTGTGGGTGCAATTATAGTTTATTTGTAGTTTTTATAGAAATTTTGTAGATGAAAAGCAAATTGTAGAAATGTGACATCCATAATTAATCTGCAAATTGTCTACAAAATTTTACAAAAACTACAAATTAACTACATTTAACCTACATTATAACTACAATCTGGAAACAATTTACACATGGAAGTTCTTCAAGTTGGAATTGGCCACAGCTATATTTCTTGTTTTCTAGACACACAATGTACCGCTTCACACCATCCAACACAGTATGTATATGATCTGTTGAAGCCCTCACCTACATTTTCAGAACAAACACAAAGAAAAAAAAATTACAATATTAAAAATATAGTATCTACAATATATCTACAATTTATCTACAAATTAACTACAAACTATAAGTAAACTACAATTTGCCTACAATTTATCTACAATCTGGAGACACTGTATATTAAAATATTTTTTTCCTGCACCAAATAAAGAAATTGTAGTCAAATTGTAGATATATGTAGTAAATTTGTAGATAATATTATAAAACTAAGAAGACCTATTGTTGTTATTTTTTTCTTCTCATTTTTGTTGTTGTTTACAAGCTTTAAGTTATTGTCGTTGATCTGCCTTTGAACTCTCCACTTTATGTCCATTTAATTGGTGCTTGTTTTTTTGAATCAGATGTGACATCATGCTAGCTGCATCTTGAGGAAAGCAAAGCAGATAAAATCGTATGCCATTTTCTTTTCTAGAAAAATGCAGTTACGATGTGGTTTAGCGATACTAGAAAGGACTTTAATTATTGACTTCATTTTGATCTTAGCCTTGAAGATGTTGAAGGGGTTGATCAGTTGCGGTGGGAGGATCAGTAGAAGATAAGGGTATATGTAGAGGGCGGTGGATCAGGATCCTCAAACACCCCTAATCCTGCTGCAACGGAACTTGGTATTGAAGTCTCTCAAACCTCCGTGATAGAAGAAACGACGAAGAACAGATTTTTTCAACTTTGAGTTATTGAAACTCGAAAATTTGAATTGTTCGTTCTTTTTTTTTTCTCGAGAATTTGAATTGTAGTTCTGGAGAAAAATACGCAGATGAGAAATCTCCTTTCCCTTTTTAAAAATTAAATTTAATGTAGAATCAATTAACACCAAGATTCTCTCCTTAATTTTAGGAAATATTCTGCCCTTTTAATGCTTAATAGTCGAATGGTACAAAATTTGTAGACAAAACGTGGACTGGGCGGGTAATTAACAAACAATGCACATTTTTGGTAATAAGGTTTCATATATGGTATAGTTAGGAAAAAATCCCTTCATTCTAAGGCCTCATTTGTTTGCACTTAATGGAGGTTTGAATCTTAATCATTCAGATCTCAGATATTAAGTGCGTTTATTTTTGAAATCTGAATCTTAATTATTCAGATCTTAATCATTAAGTGTGTTTATTTTTTTTACTTCACAACCATTTAGGGTCTGAATAGGTCCGTATGATTAAGATCTATAACAGAGACTTAATTTAATTAAGATGCTATCACATATTCATTATTAACTGCCGCCACCGCCTACCATTATCAACTACCACCATGTCACCACCACCACCACCACCACGCCACCATCATCCTCAATCATAGCCGCCACCATTATCAACCATCACCACCCACTATCCCCACCACTCCGACCACCATCATTCTCACCCACAATCAACACTCATCCACCTCAACTACCACAACTGACCACCCCATCACCATCAACAACCACAGCCGGTACTGCCCATCTTATAACCTACCACCACCCACCCACCACCTTCCTGAGTCACAACTATTACCACCACCTGCCATTATTAACTATCACCACCCACCACCACCATCCTCAATCATAATCGCCACCACTACCAATCACTACTAGCTACTAGCATGAACCACCATCATCAACCAAAACTACCACCAACCACCGCCTCTAGTCGACATTCACTCGTTAACCATCACCACCAACAACTATCATATTTTAAAAAAATATATATTTTATTGATAGAATATTAGATTAGTTAGTATTTCATTTGAATTTTATGTTTATTAATTTTCAAATAAAGATAAATTTTAACATTCAGATGTTAAAAATCAAACAGTCTTAATTATTTCTATTCAGATCTTAATACACATCTTAATATATTCAGATGTGTATTCAGATTCAGATGTCTTAATCTTAATACACATCTTGATATTCAGATGTGTATTTAGATTCAGACGTCTTAATCTTAAAAAAAATAAATGAGGCCTAAGTGGGCGTTTGGACATAAGAATTGTAAAATTTCGAAAAGAAGTAAAAAAAAAAAAATCAAGTGGAAATGGTATTTGAAAATTAGAGTTGTGTTTGGACATGAATATAATTTTTGATTATTTTTGAATTTTTGTGAGTGATGTGAAAGAAAATTTTGAAAACAGCTTTTAGAGTTTTTAAATTTATTCGAAAAATTTTATAACTTATTTTCAAGTGAAAATTGAAAACTTTATGGCCAAACAGCTGATTTGGAAATAAATGAAAAATTTTCGAAAAAAAGTAAAAAATTCTTTATGTCCAAACAGCCAGTCAGCCACTGCCGGCTTTAGGGTAAAGCCTGCCCCCAAATTTCGGGGCCCCATTTTTTATCATTAATAGGTTAATAAATTATTTTCTGTGGGTGTGGAAAATAATGAGTACTTTTAAGTAGAAAAAGTAGATTTTTTTACTATATAAAAGGAAAATTAACTTTTTGAGTAAAATTTTACTAGTAAATAACTCTTCTAAGTTCTAATCCTCTTACTGTGAACAAAATATAGGGAAATCATTATATTTCACTTCTTATCTTTTTTATTTAATTAGAAAATATGTAGATTATATTATATACTATTTACTCTCTTTCTTGGTTTGTCCAAGAGTTAATCTCTTACATAACATTTGTATATTTTTTTTTCTTGATTTCCAAGTCCAAGTCTGACAAGTTATATTAATATTATTTTCTGAAAAATCATAGCTTAAGAGTACTTTCATAAAATATATTGCACACTTTTTTTTCTTACGTTTCAAGCATTGCGAAGAGTTATTGAAGCAGTAAAAGATATTTTGGAATTTAATCATCATTTTTCTTGAATTGGATTCTATTTTTCTACCTTCAAGTGTTATTTTTATCTAATATTTGTTACTCCTATTATTTTAATTTCAAATTTATGTATTAAAATAAATATGTCAACTAGAGATATGAATTAGGTTGTTCAAAACTTAAAAAAGAAAAAAAGTTAAAACTATAACACAGTCCCAAAAAGGATTATTAGGAGAAATGATTGTAAATAATTCTTACGTAAAAATTTTGCATCTCAAAACATGAGGAAATTAACTAGACTTCAAATAGGTATTTTATACAGGTAAAAACTTACCCGCACCGGGTGTTTACACCAAACCAATAGATACATTACATCTTGCATATGAACTTCAATCATTTAACCATGGTAAATTATATCCATTCTCATCTAATTAAATTAATTAACTATGGTGAGTTAATATAGTTTGGTATAAACACCCGGTGTGGGTAAGTATTTACCATTTTATACATATATAATTTAAGGCCCTCATCAATGTTGGCTTTAGGCCGCAAAAATTGTTGAGCCGCCCTGTATCCAGCTTGAGGGGTTCACGTGAACCCATACTCATTTCCCTAAATCCTGTATAATAACGTTATATTTCTTCAAAATTACTTAAACATATGTGTGTGTACCCATGCTCATAAATTCTTATGGTGTAATTATTATTGGGTGCACCTTTACAAGTGAAATTGGCGGTTCAGAACCCAATCCGAACGGTCTTGTGTTCAACATGGAGTATAAATATATGTGAAATTTACTATAACTTAATTTTGAACCTACAATTTTAAAAGTGTAGTGGATTTATGGTAAGACACTAAAGTTAAACCCGTCAAATATAAATTCTAGATATACCTCTTTACAACAGTGTGCCCATCCTCTTGAAATCCTGGATCCGCCTCTGATAAGACGTATACAGCCAGCTGGTTCCTAATTTTTTTCACTAACCTAACAATAATTTCGTTTTTCTTATAAAAAAGGTTTTTTTTCTTCCGTAAAAAAGTAAAATAAGCGGGAAAAAGCCCACAAAAAGTCGGCCGAGGATCACGTTTCGCCAAGATTAACCACTCCGTTAAGGTAAAACCATTCAATAAGCATATATTGACTTTATTAATCTATATATATATATATATATATATATATATAAATATATGTATATATAGTTAGATATTGACACGGTGTAATTGTTTTCAGGTACTATTGCAAAAGGAGCTGCCCTTTTACATCAAGAAGGAGCCAGGGAAGTTTATGCATGCACCACTCATGCGGTTTTCAGGTACTTATGGTTCATCAATTTTGGGCTTGCATATCTTAATGAAAAGACTTTCCCTTCCATATCGTCATTATTAGCCTGAAATTGCTTAATCACATCTGTTTCAGTAAGTGGTGATGAACGCATGTACACTATAAATCCCGATACAATAAGTTATTGGTCTATTCTCAGAACTGCATCAATTTGCTAATGGAAATCCTTTGGCACAAAAATAAATAGGGAAGGGGGAAAAAGAATGCCCATCCCAATCCTTCGATTGTAATTAAATCACTAGGGCACTAGAGCAATGTTTGCATTGTATCCTTCAAGATAAGACTTTGGATGTCGAGATGCTAGGCTGCCCAACTTGTGGGTGAACTTTGCATGATACCTTTTTTGATAAGGGTGGTGTGCGTCCCTTGATTATTCCATCGGATACCTGCTACCTCCCACCAGTACAGGTACCTGGTAACTCTGTCCGCCAAGGCTTAGGCGAATGGGAAGATACACCTACTGTTTTTGTTGCCTTTGCTGGGATCTGAAGCCTGGATCTTAATCTATGTTTTGCAGCCCTCCTGCGATAGAGAGGTTGTCGAGTGGACTGTTTCAGGAGGTAATTATCACAAATACCATTCCGGTGGCAGAACAAAACTATTTTCCCCAGCTGACCATCTTGTCTGTTGCAAACCTCTTGGGCGAAACGATTTGGCGTGTCCATGATGACTGTGCAGTAAGTTTGAGCTTCTCTTTTAAGATGAACTAGTTAAACAATGGTTTGATAACCCTTATCTGTCCTGTTCCATTAGTTATCCTTTTCCTTCCTATTTTGAATTGCGGGATAATATGGCGTTATGTCATCGGATTTGTTTAAAATAGTACAAGGTAGAGCAAGCGAAGTTTCATTCCTTTTTCCTTTCTACTAACTAGAAGAGCAAAGCTATCATGGCATTGTTAAATGACATGGAGAAAAAATCACACCTTTTTTTTCATTATTAAAGTTCTATAAGTCTTGCAACACCTTGATTTAAGCTGCACTCTTTTATGATTCTTATGTGATTTTTTAATTGCTTCTGGAAATAACTTAGGAACTCCACAGATTTACGAGATTTAGGCAGTGGTTTAACGAGTGAGGAAACTTAAATAACACTAATAGTAATCAGCTCCTTAAAGTTTAAAGCTTTATACATACAATTCTACTTCTTTTACATGCGAATACTAACACCAGTTAGATTTGGGGTCTCCCTTTTTAAATTATACAGTTTTAACATCTATCAAATATTTCTATTAGCTAGGAAGGTAATTCAGTTTCACGATTTAATGGTAATAGTGTCTATAGCAATCCTTGAGGAGAATGTTGAGTATGTGTCTTAGCTAACCTTGCCACTCTTCTGTCTGTCTATACTTGTCAGGGCGGCTTTGAGCCTTACTCCGGCTTGGGAATTGATTAGTCCTTCCTGTTCATTGCTTGTTTTGACACTGTTATCTGGATCTTGAAGCAGAATTTTATTGTTGTCTGGAACTTGAAGCAGTATTTTTACTGTTGTCTGGAACTTGAAGCAGTATGTAAATCCACCAAAATTTTCGTCCAGTAACAAAGAGCATTTTCTGTTGTACAAATATTTTGTGCGGAATGTTACGTTGTAAATCTTTCAATCAGTGACTTGGATCCATGTAGTAGATGAGTTTTTTGATTAATATGAAGCTTACTTGAATTGCTATTATGGAGTGGAGCGTCATGAATAGCATCTTGCCAGAAGTACTGAGCAATAATAGCATCATTAGTCCCATCTTGTCAAAATTACTGAGCAAATTAAGGTTTGAAACGTGCCCCGAACAAGTTTACCTTTTCTGTGCCGCACAAGTTCTTTTCCACTTGTATTTGTAGAAGCCGAGTCGGAATTCAGTTAAATATAGAAAGGATTCTGGAAACATATCCAGAGCAATAGAGTTTTGAATAGAAAAAATGATTGCAGGAAGAAAACAATGCAAAATGCCTAAGGATTTATGTATGAAGGTTCTAGTATCCGCAGAAGAAAAAAGGTAAAAAAAAAAAAAAAAAAAAAAAAAAAAAAAAAAAAAAAAAAAAAAAAAAAAAAAAAA